AGCGCGTGGCGCTTCTCGGCGTCTTCGAGAAGGCGCGCGAGGTCCGGCACGAGGCGCGCAACAAAGTCGCCTTCAAACGTCGCAATCAAATACGCGTAAAACTCGCGCGCCGAGAGCTGCTGGTTGCCAAACTTGCGCGCTTTGGACGTAAAGAGCTTGACTTGCTGAGGGTCGCCGCCAAAGACGGCGTGCACCGCTTCGAGGATCGACCGGTGCAGCTGCCGCGCCTCTTCGCCGACGACGGGCTGGATGTCTTGAATCACGAGCATGGGCGCCGCCTTCTTGCGGCTCGGGCCGGCCTCCGCAGCCGTTGTTGGCGCGACCGGCGGCGCAGCACTCTCAAAGAGCGGCAGCGCGTTTTCCCAGCCTCCGTGCTGCGCGTCGTAGGCCTGGAGCAGCGCTTGGCGCTTCGTTGTGTCGCTCAGCAGCTTGGCGCACGACGGGACGACGGTGAGCGCGAACTTGGGCCCAAACGCGTTGAGAATGCCGTCGCAGAAAGCCGCGGCGTCGATCTCGCCGTTGCCGTACTTGCGGCTATGGCTCTTAAACATGTCGATGGCGGCCGCCGTCTCGACGTGCCGCTCCGTGCACGCGTGCATGAGCGTCGAGAGCACTTGGCCGTACAGCGCCTTGGCCTCTTCGGCCGAGAACTTCTCGACGCGCTCCTTCTCGAGTTGCGCTACACAGATGCATCGTGTGAGCCCTATTGGACGACGATGAAATGTCGGTACCGAGACGGGCGTCCTCCTTGGCTTTTTGCGCGTGGTCCCAGATCGTACCGTACTCTTTGCTTTGGTTTTGCCGGTACGCTTTCTGTACACAAAGCTGTCATATGCGTTTCTCGTTCATTTAGTATACCTTGAGCTCGGTGCGAAAGTCGTCGAGGACGCTGAAGAACTCCATGGCGCCAAACTTGCGCGGGTCTTCGCCAAACGACGCCACGAGCTCCGAGAAGGCACCTTCGAGCGCCTGAAAGTCGCGGCTCATCTCATCGACAATCTCGGCCGCCTCCTTGACGAACGGCGCCATGATTTCGTAAAACTTGTCGGCCGGGTCCGTATTCGCCTTGGACGCTTGGACCTAAGGATTCGAATAAATTAGAAAATATATGGGTACATATGACAACCTGGCCCTGGAGCATCGCAAGCTCCGACGTGCAGCCGGTAATGTCGGCCTTGACTTGGTCGAGCGACATGCGCTTGGCTTCCACAATGTGCGGCACTTCGCCTGCAAACGCAATAAGATCTGGCTGCGTCGCCTCCAAGTGGCGGGCCAAAAAGTTCATCTGCACACGCCCATTCGGCCTCTGATATACCAAGAACGAACGTACCAGCGTCACTTTCGGGTCCACCGACCGGATCGTATGGAGCTTCCCGAGCGCTTCGAGCTTGAAGCCGTAGGCGCCGCCGCGCGCCGTGCCGCCGTTCATATAATTGCCGATCGCGAGCACCTAGTATAATATCGCGCATGAGCTACAACCTCAATTTTGATTCAACCGGACCGTCTCGAGGATCTTGGTGAGGCGCGTCGAGTCGGCGACTTGGTCCGTCGCGGCGCTCAGCGTGTCGATCTGCGCTTGGATGTCGAGCACGCGGTGTTCAAACTGCATGTAAAACTTGAAGCACTTGATGCGCTGCGTGTAGCGCGGGATCGTGAGCATTTCGAGAAAGAACTTTTCGACGGCGCCGAGGACCTCGAGCGGTCCGTCGTAGTTTTTCAAAATGTCCTGCTCTTCGAGCGTCGGCGCCAGCGTAATGAGCGACGTCACGTGGTCGCTCGTCAAGACACTCGTGTTGAGCGCCAAGAGCGCCGCTTTCACTTCCGATGGCGTCAGCTTGTAGCGCGCGATCGCAATGCCGACGTTCTGCTGTGTCTTCGAGTCGAGGAGCAGCACCGTCGACGACTCCTTTTTCTTTTTGAAATTGTCCTCGTCCTTCTTGCCATCTAGTGTGCGGCGTCGGCGCATGAACGTGAGCCGGAATTTCGTACCGTTGGTCGGGTTTTTCCGGAAAAAGAGCTCCATATCGAACGGGTCGAGTGGCACAGCGTCGTCCGAGAGCTTGTTCCAGACAGTGCTCTTGACGACGTTGACAGGGATGCGCGTCCAGAAGAGCGACCGCATCTCGGTACCCGGCTTCTTGCTTTCCTTCTTGGGCAGCGCCGGCGGCTCCTCTACCAACAAACTTGTGGTTTCCATCTTGATACATTGATAGGTACCGGGTTTCTTGACGCTGGGGCGTTTGGCGAGCATGTTTTGGAGGTCCCCGAGCTTGGGGGCCGACGGCATCACTGGTGCAGCAGACGGCGCCATCGTGGTCGCGCCTTTGAGCAGCGCTGGGTCGACGCCACTCGCTTGCATCTTGAGTTGCACTTGCTCGAGCGGCATGCCCATCTTGAGCAGCTTTAAATACTTGCCGACGACCGGGTCGTCCGTCGCCGGCGCCGGCGGCGAATTGACTAGACATATATGAGCGGCTTGGATACGTGGATGATGTCGTACCGGCGGTGCCGTCGCCAAGGACCGCGTCCGGTGTGTCGAAGAGGTCGGGGTTGAGCCCCTCGGCCCCCATCTTTAACTTGATCTGCTCGGCGGGCATACCCATTTTCGCGAGCTTGAAAAACTTGGCGTAGCGCTGGTCGTCCTTGACCGTGACGGCGCCAGCGGCTGCGGTGGCAGGCGGTTCGCTGATGAGTGCATCGGGCGTGTCGAGCAAGTTGGGGTCGGCGCCGGCTTGCTGCATTTTCATCTTGACCTGCTCCGCAGGCAGCCCCATCGAGAGAAGCTTGAAGAACTTGGCGTAGTCAGGGTGGTCCTTGACAAGGGTGCCACCACCCGCCGCAACGGCAGCGGGCGCCGAAGCAGAGGCAGGTGCGGTCGCAGCAGCTTGCAGCTTGTGCTCGAGCGTCGCGATAGTCTGCGCCTGGGACTCAACCTGCGCGATCGCTTTGGCCTCGGTGCGCGCCAACTTGCGCTGGAGCTTCTCGACCATCTCGCGCAAGTGCTCGTTCTCGGTTTGGAGCGCGTCCGCGACAGGCGCCGCATCGGACGAGTCGGGCGTCGTGGTTTCGGGCGTCGGCGTCTCGGGCTCGGCAGGCGCTGGCTCGGACTCGGGCACCGACTCGACGGCCGACGCTGTCGGTGAGACATCGACGGGCTCGATCTTGGCGGGCGGCGAGGGCTCGGCGGGCGGCGTGACAAAGATACCCCGCAGCTCGTCTGCGCTGCTCTCGCGAGACGGTCGGCTCTGAGCGTGCTGGCCTGCGCCGCAGTCGATGCAGAATTTGACGTGCGGTGGCAGCTCGTACCCGCACTCGATGCAAAACTTCATGCTCTTGATGCTGGCCATGGCTTCGAGGCGCGGGATCGGGATGGCCTGCGACTGCCGGCGCATGAGCGTCCCGCGCGCGCCGCTCTGCGCCGCCTCGAGCATCGGGTTGGTCGCCAGGCACGGGAGGCAGAACCACTGCGGGCGGGTCATCGACGGGTTGCTGCGGTCGCTGGCCTTGCGCGAGCACTCTTTGCAGACAGCGACGTGGCAGCCGCGGCAGTGGTGTCGCCGGCGCATTAGGTTGAATGTCTTCTCGCAGCCGCTGCACGTCGGCTCGCGCCCAAACTCGAGCGTCGTGAGGCTTTCGAGTGCATGGCTATGTTTCCGCCATCGGCACGTGTCGAGGGGCTGCTCGGCGCGCGAGCGCAGCCCAATGTGCTTGAAGCTCTTGCCGTAGCTCCACTCGCCGACGTTCCAGCCGGGCCCGTCTGTGGCGAAGCGGTAGCCCGTCGGTGGCCGCGCCGTTTCGAGCGAGACGATGGCCTTCCCGAGCGCGCCCTTGCCGTCGGCAGCTTCAGAGAAGTTGGTTCCTTCGCCCGCGAGGAGCTCGCTGCTCCAGCCGTGGACGTTGCGGCGCTTCTTCTCGTAGACTTCGTACAGCACCGTCGTCATGTACCGTAGTCCTCCTCGGCTTGATGTCACACGCCGAAGAAGATGTGAGTGGGAACCTCCGGGATCCATCTCCGGGTTCAACAATAAAAGCCCACGTATTTTTTCTCAATCTCCAAGACGATTCCATACAAACGCTGCATTAAAATAGATGAGATACTATAAATTTCGCCGCCGTGCCGGGATTGGCTAAAATGTGCCACGGCGCCGTTTCAACACAATTCCAAATCGACTAAACGACCGACTAAAAGCAGGCTTTGTGCGAACAACATGGGGCGAGTAAAAATACTTCGCGCAGCGCATGCAAAAAAGAGGGAGAAGAATGTGGGAATTCATTTATTACGCGACCGGCTTTTCGTCCGGCGGCCCGCGCAGGTCCACTTCCACGGCATGCGACATTGTATACATTATTCAAGATATTTTAATGCGCTATTGCGCGAAGTCTTCTTCATTCTAATTGGCTAAAATTCCGTGCTTTACGGAGTTTCGTGCAATCTTATTGGTCAAAATGCATCGCCGCGATTGCTCTGCGAGTGCTGAGCTGCGATTACTCGTTTGTAGAACGCTTGCTTGTTTGTAGAACACTCAAACGGCATCATGCAAGCTGGGGCCGCCGGTCGATCGAGAAGCACAGGCTCGCGGCTCACCGTCGTCAACGCGCGCTCGATCTGGTCCACGACCACGTCGGCTGACACTTGCGCGGCGCCAAGCTCGCGCTTCTTGATGACGGCACTCTCGCTGAGCTCGTCGACGGCCGACGAGGCTTCTTCAGGTTTGCTGAAGGCCGCTCTCGAGGCGCGTCATGTCCACAAGCAAGAACACCTGCGGTCTCTGCCGGAAGCAGCGGAAGCACGGGGCCGGTTGTTCCCAACGAATGGCCGCCAGGTAGGCGCGATCAATCTAACGAGTTGCATTGGACCAACGAGTCATGGGCGATGCCTAGGAAGCGCATGCATACTGGACGCAGCAAAAATTGGGCGTTGAAGGGTTAAGCGCTAATGCACCGACCGTATCTTGCCGATTGGGGCTTGTTTCGGTGTATCACTGTCACGGGTGGCCGTGCGTTCATTGGCTGCGAACCACGACAGGACGCGTGCGATTGGGCGGAATCCTGTCTTCGTTGGGGCCTCGTCATTGACGCGTCAGTTCGCATA